ATTCCTCCTTATTTGGACGAATCTTATCTAATATTCACTTATTTCTTTTGATTCAAGGGCATAGCCAGGACACTGGACCATATTGAGCTGATACAAATAATATTTTTGAAAAAAAATACACATAATTTTTTCACTTAAAACTTAAACATTTTTAAAATTTGGGATTGGCCGGGGTCAAGGTTGGTCCTCCCCTAGCTCCGCCCCTATAAGGAAGTTAATAAGGAAGTTTTTCGCAATGTATAGATTGTGAAATCTTAGTTTAGATTACATTTCGTTATTTCTACTTATTCTAAAACATACTTACTATCTATCTTTGAGTTTTCACTATCCGTTCTTCAATTACTCCGTATAATTTATTATACATGTTACGTCAATGACAATTTACATTTATTTCACACAACCAAGTAATATTTAGAAATAATATCATATCACATTATCGCTATTATTACATTTTAATATCTCGCGCATCGCGCGGGTGAGAATCTAGTGAAAGCAAAAACACAAAAGAAAAGTGAAACTAACTGGAACAAAAAACGACGAAACAAAGTGAGGAAGAAAGATAGAAGAAAGAAATAAAAGGGAAAGTTCCCGAAATGGGACTAAAAAAGTTCGAAAATTCCAAAATAGGACTGTCATGTTTTTATTCCCAAAATAGGACTAATTACTGCCAAATTTGGAAAATACTGCCATGTTTGAAGTCTGGTACTGCCAAAACATGGCAGTAATTAATCCTATTTTGAGAATAAAAACATGGAAGTCCTATTTTGGAATTTTCAAACTTTTTTAGTCCCATTTTGGGTAATATCTCGAAATAAAATGGACGAGCAGGTAAGCATGCCAGCGGAAAAGAACAACAACGAGCAGCAGCTAAGTGAACTAAGTTAACTATTGCCCTTTGAGTTGAATTTAATTACAAAATTGCCGGCTGTACCATGGGCATGGTACAGCCGGGGGCATGGTACAGCCGGTTGTACCATATATTTTGCCCACCGTACAGCCAGATGATAATATACACTCTCATTAAAATTGGTAATTACACGTAATTGTGTAAATTGAGTAACTTTGTACAATGTAATTAAAACAAATTCAGTTACATTCCATAACATATTCTTTAATCAATCAGGTTTTTTCATAAATATTACGGAAATATAACTAATGGACAAAAATATTACTATAATTACTATACAAAGTCATTATAACAGTAAACTTGAACATAATCATGGTCACCAAAGTTACTACGGTAGTCATTAAATCATTTTTTTGTCGCCTACTTTTATTTCAGTCATATATTTGTCATAATTTTGCAATTGTTAATACTCCTAGCAACAATAATCCAGTAATAATATACCAAGGCCGAAAACTAACAATTCAAAAAGTGGATATTGAAATGCTATATTAGGATGTTTTCTTATTTACTAGACCAAATCAGACCAGATCATACCTAAATAGACCGGACCATACTTATACAGACCAGCCTTGGACATTTATAAAATATACATAGATTAGACATTTACTAAATCAGACCAAGCTAGACTTAAACATATGAGACTAGACCAGACCAACAAATTTCAGTCCGAAAAAATCAATTTGACCGATCTCTTTGAGACGGAAGTAGTATAAGAATTGTGTGCATTACTAATTAGCATTTAATAATTATAACAATAATAATAATTATAATACAAATGAGCTCAACCGATCGTTGACTAACTCTATCGTATGAGAAATTCAGGGGGTCCAAACTTTTTTTATTATCGTCAAACCAACAAATATATTAAATCAACAAAACGTTCTCACATGGCGGATAATACAATCAATAAAAAAGCAGGAAACAAAATGATAAAAAGCCTTCTGCCTCCCGTCCGCAATTGAACTAGATTTAGAATCTATCACCTCTGTAGAAGCAATAACATTCGTTGATCCCGTAATGAATGAGTTTAACTGAGCATGACAGACAAACCAGACTTCTCATCATCTGAATTAAATTCTAGAATCTCTTTGCTAGAAAATAAGAACACGTCCAAAATAACATGTGATTTGAAAGAAAAACACAAACAGAATAAAACGAAATTAAAACAAAATCCACTCATCTTCTTTCACACTTTAGACTTGTTTACACTCCCGAGATCCAAACTTTAAGAGTAGAGTTTCAACCTATTTATCGGGTAAAAAAAAAAGTTAAAATGTTGGCACATTTCTCAAATTGTTCGGCATGAACCTCTTCCAGGGGTTAAGACTTGAGACATACGGAGTATTCCTCAAAGGATAAAAAGAACCGCACGAGTTGGAGATCGACCAGAAGATGAATGGATTTGGTATCTTTAAACCCGACCCAGATCTACCTTTTTGCACCGCCACTTCACACCCAACACAAGTTCCCACCTTCACCCGTTTTCGGATTCGGGTATCGACCCGTTTTCAACCCTCTGTTACAGAAACCAATTTCCTCTTCAATCTCTTCTCACCAAAATTCCTGCCACAAGAAGAGGTTGACCGCCGTGAAGGCCAGCCGCAAAGGAGAGACTCCTTACGAGGTCTTGGGCGTCTCGCCTGCTGCAACTCCACATGAAATTAAGAAAGCGTATAGGAAACTCGCTCTTAAATACCATCCTGATGTCAATAAAGAGGTAATCATTCCGAATATCTGTATTTTGAGTATGCATGATATTCTTCTATTAAAAAATGAAGAGAAATGGCGTGTAAAGGTCCAAAGGATGCGCAATTATGTTATATCAGCTGGAATGTGTCTAAGTTTTGGTAGAGGCTCTTACTTTGGTGAGCTTGGAATTTCTAAACTAGTTTTGTTTGATCTATGGCAATCTTTTTTTTAATGATCTATGGCAATCTTCAGAATGGTGGTTGAGTTGATTGGATGGGATTATCTGTTGGGCTATACCTGCTTAATTAGAAAGAGCTTGACAAATGCCCACTTGGGGGTGTTTGGATCTGATTCTTAAAACTGCTTCTACAGAAGATGGAGTGTTTGGGTGAAAGTGCAGAAGTGATTCTGGTACTCAAATTTACTTATAGAATCAGTTTTTTGGTGACCAGCTTCTGAAAACTGATTCTGATTCTGTTTCTGCTTTAAAAAAGAAGCAGAGGCCCTGAAGCAGAATCAGTTTCAAACACCCCTCAGATTCTGAGGGTATTTGGAGGAAAGTGATTATAATTCTCAGTGTTAATAATCCTAATTTGTTCTGTGATGTGTGGAAATTCATTAGTTCAATAGTGTTTGACATTGATTTTGTTTGCATGTACAAGAGACTTACATTGAATTGTTCGGCGAAATTATGCTAAGTTGCTAACACTTTATGCTTTGCCACTATAGCCCAATGCAAAGGAGAAGTTTATGAGGATTAAGCATGCCTACAATACAGTGCTAAACTCCAAGGCAAGAAAGAAGTATGGTTCTGGAAGTGACTCATCTAATGATTCTTATGACACAACTTCGGGTAGCCAAAGTGGAACAACAAAAGATGAAGATTTTTATGGATTTGGTGAGATGTGTTTTCATCGCATAAGTTAAACCGCATTACCAAATTGTTTTTGTATATCTGGCTAACACAAACAATGATCTGTACATTTAGAATCTTAGAATCTACAAAAACAGTGTTTAGCATTATATCAATATATAATCTATTGGGAATTAGTCTTTATAAAATAAAATATAGAAAATCTTTAAAATTTCATTCTTATTCTTTACCCCCTTCGTCCTGCAGGTAACTTTTTCAGGGATGTACAAGTTACAGTAGGTAGATTCTGCAGATCATCACGATCACTTATTTACCAAGCTTAATCTTCCACTAATATTAGGGCACTTATAAACCTCTATTTTGCCAGTTGAAGTCACATGGTGAGGCTTAAACAGTTAAACTTACTTATTTTGTTGCAGAGGACTTCTTTAAGGATGTTCAAGAAGAATTCCGAAATTGGGAAGTAAATTTAGCCTCACAAGGGAAGCCGAAGAGTTTGTGGGAGGAAGTGGCGGTGAGTGAATTAAATATTCTTGTACTATATATCACTATATCTAGAAACAAGAGAAGATATCGAAAATGTGACAACTTAGATCTCCTGAAATGCAAGGGAATTAAAGTAGGGAGAAAAATTGTAGGAAAATTTGAAGTAAATAAAACGTGAGAAAAAATAAAAAATTGCTTCAAACTCAATTTAATCTATATTTGGAGATGTTTGAACTCATTTTCTTTAATATTTGTAATATGAAAGTTCTATGAATTATAGATATGTGAAAAATTCCACAAAGGTTGGAGGGGTTGCTTACTATTTTTTCTACAAGTCCAAATCGTATTAAGATTAAATAGTCTTTATGCAAGAGACAGTTTAATTTAAGGTGATAACTCCGGTACCGTACCTAACATTCATTTGATTGGACCACATCACTTTATCAATTTTAATTTAGATTTAAATAATTCAACTGCTATCTTTTCATTGGTCCATGTGAACAAAGGTACAGTACCTTATGGGTACCATAGAAACTACCTTAATTTAATGGGTAATGCCACTTAATAACCAACATTTATTTCATAATGGGTTTAAATAATGGGTTTAAAGAATTGGTTGAATCGAAGTCTCTATGACAATCTATTCCATAATAGTTATTTTCTTAATAAGGGAATGCCTAATTATTAGGGCTTAGTTAGGAAATGAAAAATATTTTAGGGCTTAATGTTTAGTCAGTGTTTAACTGAATGAATAAGGCATATTTTCAATTTAGTCGTAAGCAAAACAACTTGATGGCTGGACAATTGTCACTACCCGGTTAAGCCTATCAAGCACAAGGAAACATCCCCTAGACATTTTGTTTTTTGGAATTTTCTTATTTTCTAAGGAAAATTCAACCATTCAAAAACTATTTGTCTTGGTATTTTTCTCTGTTCCTTTTCTGAGTCCCAAACATAACCCGCAAGTTCTTTTATGTCCATCAAAAAGTGGAAGGCTATTTTATGTTACATTTCTCTGTTCTGTAAATGGTTGGTACTTAACAGGAAATTGGTGAAGAATTCATTGAGTTTTTAGAGAAGGAACTTGACATAACTGATGCTGAGGCAGAAGAGGAGAGCCTCAGGGAAAAAGCGGCTCAGAATAATGCATCTTCTAGTGTAGATGGAATGTCAAATGGCACAGAACATAAAGCGACTGAAAAAAGAAGTAACATTGAGGAAAATTTGGATGAGATCGAAGAAGCTCTAGCTCGGTTGAAGAAGGAATTGGGACTACTATGATGGAAAGCCTAGAATAGTTATTGGAAACTGTAAGTGGTTGTATCAATGTGTTAACTAGTTGCCATCAAATTTCCCCAGGCTTAGTGCATTCCCTCTACATGGTTTAAGCGTGTAACTTTACAAGCGCATACTCCACATTTTTTTGGTGAACAAGTGTATTGTGTCATATGAAGATAGTAAATTAATTTGTTAGATTATAGCACGTTTGAATTGCATCCAGTTTGTAGATTAAAAGAACAGAAATAATTTTTATGAGATGAATGGAGCATTATATATTTGTACAGATCATGACTTTCAATTCTTATGCTAGAAGGTTGTGAGAAGGTTCTTAAAACAAAAAACAAAATCATCACTTTTATCACTCGTATTCAATCACTGATCACCACAGCGAAATAGTGTTATGAGAAGGTTGCGTTTTTAGGTCTGGGAAGTCAAGAAACAGGGCACACCAAATTTAATTTGCTTAGTGGATTGGGGGAACGGATGTAAGAGGTGCCCCCGTCATCGGGGAAAAAAGTCAAAAACGTAGCTACTGATTAAAAGGTTAGGAGCGACTAAATTTCTTCCTAGGCAGGCGGTTTTCCGCCGATTTCTCGGTCCGGGCGGCCGATTAGTCGGCTGAGCGACTATAGGAGCGAACAACATAAAATCTCTACGGGATGAAGGCGCCTAGCGAATTTCCGGTGCCTAGGCGGCCGATTAATTCGAGTTTTAAAACCATGTTTGTACCAGCTCTAGACTCTCGCTCTCCTTGTTCTGTAGTACATTCACCCTCTTGACCTGTCCTCCTCTGTTGTATGACCACCGTTGAACCCGAAGATTTTTCCACTAGCCACTTATTGCCCCTTGTCGGGCTAGTCTTCACCCCTCCACCTGCTCGAAGTTCTACCCCAAAAGATTTTTCCAAAACTATATCATCCTCATATTTCAACGGACAGAATTTATCAGTATGCCCAATCACCCCAAAAATGAAACAAAAATTAAGGAGTTTATCATATTTAAGATCCACCCAATGTCTAATACCACCTCTCTTAAGGTTAGAACCCTTCTTCAGAGGCTTCCCCACATCCAATCTCAGCCTAATTCTCATATATGACTATCACTTCTTATCAAAGTGGCTCTCATCAAAACTAATACACTCACCAATATAGTTTCCCACCCTTCTAGCAGTTCCTATATTCATAAAGCTATACAGAACATTATGCACTTGTACCCAAAATTCAGCTTCACTCAAATTCATTTATGGGGAAAATCATCTGGTCTAACTTCATTAAAAAGCAATAAATTTCTCTCAAATAACAAAGAACCATCTTCAAGAACACGATACATATCCACAATGTGATAAAAAGTAAACAGATTTGTAGTCTATCTCTTTGATTGATCCCCCTTTACCCGGACGCCAAATCGGAGCCAAAAGATCCTTGAAAGCCTGAAACTTGATTTTCCAATCCGTGACCGTGAGAACAAATCCCACCACTGGAAACTCGGCCCTCTTCTCAGTTGTATCAAATTCTCCGACTCCCTTGTCATCAAAATTCAACTCACTGTCCTCCTGCCCAATAGTCATCTTCTTGTATTGATTCACAAACTCATCCATTAATTTGACCCCAACGCAATCGCAATATCCCAGCACCCTTCGGCCAAAGGCGAAACTTGGGCCTAATAGGATATCACGACTTCGACCTTCGTCTACGGCACATCCTGCGGAACTCGATCTTCCGTCAGGGACGCCGTTCTTCGTCCTCGACGAAAACGGAAAACGAAAATCTACTCTAGCGGCCAAGCAACAACTCTAGAGAGAGAGAGATCAATACTTAAATATACTAGTCTTATTTAAACTACCATTTATCTAAGTGACATGGAATATTCAATTCATGTATTGCTTAAAGACGATTCACTTTTTTTATTTTAGATTTAATTTTCTTCCCATAAATCGTTTTTCTGACTTTGCCACTAGCTATCACCAAATCGTTGGTGGTCATTACCGGTGACATTGTTGTCAGTTGTATCATCATTCTTGACACTGAAAACCACCACGGCTGTTGTGACCGTCGGGAATGACGCTAACCTCGCTAATCAATGGTCGACTATCAGGGGCGGAGCTACCCTATTGCTTAAGGGGGCCATGGCCCCTCCCCAAGTTTTTTATTTTTTTGTAATATTATTATTATTATTATGTTTTGTTCCCCCCAACCCCCCCCCCCCCCCCCAACAAATAATGCATACGGTGTAACCAGATGTCTAGATCAATTCAAAGATAAAATCCTACTGCATAGTGCAGGTTGTTTTGGCCAACTAAAAAACATACGGAGTATTATATACTCCGTATAAAAAAGATCCTCCTAATGTGTAAATATCGAGTAGTTTGTGCAGGAGGTCTAGTTATTTTATTGAAACATTGATGTTTAAATGAATAAATCTCTATTTTTGAAAACTTTGAAGCTTTCAAGTTATTAAAACACATAATAAGGAAAAAACATATTGTTATTGCCAAAAGCTTGTGGTATATATCAATATAGAATTGTCGTTATCTCCTCATAAACTATCACATACTTTCTCCATTCTTAAATAAGTATAATAATCCATTTAACTTTTGCTAATGCATAACTTTGACCATTAATTTACATTATCCTTTATGATTAAAAAAAGGTAAAAAAAACAAATTTGAAAATTTACAATAACACAAATTTAACAATATTTTTTTAAAATAATTTATTAATACATTTATAAATAAAGCATTGTCAAAGTAGAACATGTGAATACTGTAAAATTCAACACGTTGCACTTATTTAAGAACGGAGGATGAATATTTTTTCAATTTTTTCGTTTTTTAGAATGTAATGTATACCATACAATTTTCCTTTATGTAGTGATTGATTTTTTATATTATATTTCGCCCCCCCTCGTAGTGAAGTCTGGCTCCGCCCCTGTCGACTATTGATGCAAATCTCAACAAATTTCAAAAGAGCAAATATGTCACTCACTACTTGATTTTGTGCACATGCAGTAACAAAGGAGCTATTCAATTAATATTATCTCAAATTTCTTATCAGCATTATTTCAGATTTATATCTAAAATTTTCTGATATGATCTAATATGAATTAATCTTCTCATCTAACATACTAAAATGAGAATAAATGATACTCCGTAAATAATACGGAGTATGATTAGGAGTTAAGACAACCTAAACAGTTCCTCATAAGCAACTCGTAGTAACCTATGAATGCTTTTAGTTGTTTCTTTTCCTGGTTATAAACTTATAACTCGGACTTGGATTTTTACAATACTATAAAGTATAAAAGTCATTTTACATTTAATTTATACACATTTTATAAAGGCGCAGCATAATTCAGGAACAAATTTGTCAAATTATTATATAAAAATAAAATAAAAATAACACTCCATCCGTCCCGCAAAGAAGTTCCCGGTTTGACCTACACACATAATATTAAGGAAATAAACTTACCACGGGGTAATTTTACTGTTTTGACATTGTTTAAACACTGTTTGACATTGTTTTGCACTGTTTGGCACTGTTTTGATGTAGATAACTTGTCATTTAAAGAAAGGAGAACTTCTTTTTGGGACTGCTAAAAAAGAAAAGCGGGAACTTCTTTGCGGGACGGAGGGAGTATAATTAACTAATAATGATAATGATTGTGGAGGTGTCCATCAAGCAGCAGGAGCAGTAGGTGAGGCGCAGTCACGTAGACTAGTCTTCAAGGTTGACTTTTACCTTTTCCACAAACATGCACTACGAAAAGTAAAATGGTTCTTCCTCCCAGGCTGCTTGTTCGTATTTCTAAGAGAAAATTCTAAAAGAGAAAAGATGGGGGTTCCTACATGGCTGTTTGTTCTTATTTCTGCATGCATGATCACATGTTACTTGAGGTCTGTGTTAGGAGAAACGAGGTGCATAGAGAGGGAAAGAGAGGCGCTTCTGAAGCTGAAGGAAGGCTTCACAGATAAGGATGCCCGTATGTTGTCAACGTGGGGAAGTGAGGCCAACAAAAATGAATGTTGCCAATGGAAGCACGTCCAGTGTGACGTCACAGGTCATGTGACTGCCCTCCAGCTTGGGGGTTTGACTACTTTGACGTTTCCCATGGGAGGCAAGATCAGTCCCGCCTTACTCGAATTGCATCGTTTGAATCATTTAGTTCTGAGTTATAATGATTTTGGAGGAACAAGAATCCCCGAATTCATCGGCTCCATTAGAGCTTTACAGCTGTTGGATCTCAGTTATTCCAACTTTTCCGGGGTGGTTCCTCCTCAGCTAGGGAACCTTACACAGTTGCAGACGCTTGACCTTGGAGGCAACTACGGCATTCGGTCAGGAAACCTCTATTGGCTTTCTCATTTATCATCGTTGTCTCGTCTTGTTTTGGATCACATGAACACAAGTGAAGACGCCAATTCGCTTTGGCTACACCAAGTGCTGAGCTTTCCCTCTCTTGACACATTGTCCATCGGAAGTTGTGGGATCACAGACATCACATTCGAACGAGGTCTTGCCCGTGTCAACTCTTCGACCTCATCATCGCTAACTACCCTTGATCTGTCATCAAACAAGCTCACTTCTTCCACCACATTACAATGGTTGTTGTTTAACACAAGTGCAAGTCTTGCTTATATAGGCCTGTCAGGAAATCAGTTTAGTGGTCCAATCCCAGACGCGTTTGAGAAGCTGTTTTTTCTGGAATCTCTTTATCTCCATGACAACATGTTTGAAGGACAGATCCCGAAGTCTCTAGGGAATTTAAGTTTGGTAGACTTAGACCTCTCCCATAATGACATGGGAGGACGTCTTGAGGATTTATTCGCTTCAGCCAGCAGCAAACTGATGTCATCACTATACTCTTTAACCTTATCACATAATCACTTCACAGGGTCAGTGCCAAACCTAGGGAAGTTTCAGGCATTGACGTGGTTGTTCCTCGACAACAATAAACTCATAACAGTAGAGACTCCCACAGCCGGTCTTTCCAAGCTTGAACACCTCGACGTTTCGCATAATTCATTACAAGGAACACTCTCGGAAACCTACTTCATAGGCCTTAGCAACTTAAGGTACCTAGATTTATCATTTAATAGATTGAAGTTGGAGTTCAGCAAAAACTGGATCCCGTCTTTCAAGTCGCGTCTTATATACTTAGCAAACTGCAAAATCGGCCCTTCTTTCCATGAATGGGTTCAGACACAAAGGGGGTATGTTGTTAATCTGGACATTTCTAATGCTGGTATATCTGATGAAGCCCCTCAATGGCTATGGAATATGTCTCTGGGATACTTGAACCTGTCTCATAATCAGATTACGGGCACAATCCCAGATCTGTCATCCACTTCCATTGGGATTGTTGATGCTGGGTATAATAACTTATCAGGGACTGTACCATCAATTAGTCCGCTCATTTGGGTTCTTCAGCTCTCCCAAAATATGTTTTCCGGGACCATTAATTCCTTATGCCCGTACGCCTATTGCAGGATTTCATGGCTTGACCTCTCTAATAACCAGTTGACGGGAACGCTGCCCAGCGACTTGAGGAACATGCAGGCATCGGAGATTCTCAATGTGAATTACAACAACCTTTCTGGTGAAATTCCACACTCTCTGGGCTCTCTATCAAAGCTTAAAACGATACACTTACGAGGAAATGGCTTCTACGGGGAGTTACCTTCCACTCTGCAGGGATGTCCACTTCTGCAACAGATTGATATTGGGGGGAACAAATTAACAGGAACAATTCCGCCATGGTTAGGGGAAAAGTATACAGACTTGGCATTTCTAAGCCTGCGACAAAACAGATTTTACGGTGTTATTCCTCTAGAAATATGTGATCTCACTCAGATTCAAGTGTTGGATCTTTCTAGAAACAATTTGACTGGAAAGATTCCGGAATGCTTTGACAGATTTACTGCACTGGTTGACAAAAACAAAACCACTACCACCAAGATTGAAGTCCGGACCGTGGCTACTGATGGCTACATTGACTATGCATTTGTTCAGTGGAAAGGAGAGGAGTCAATGTACACAAATACCTTAGGACTCCTTAAACTTATTGATCTTTCGAGCAATCGACTAGTCGGAAGCATACCCGAATCGTTCTCAAGTCTGAAAGGATTAATTTCCTTGAACCTGTCGAGAAATAGTTTGACAGGGAGAATCATTCGAGGCATTGGTAACATGGATATGCTCGAAGCTGTTGATCTATCGAGAAACCAACTATCAGGTGAAATACCACTTGGCTTGGGACAATTACACTTTCTGGCAGTTCTTGTTTTGGTCAATAATAATTTGACTGGAGAAATGCCATCCAGTCCTACACTGCAAGGCTTTGATCCATTTTTGTATGCTGGGAATGTTGGGCTTTGCGGGCTTCCTCTACCGCTGTGCCCTCAGGATAGCCTCGCACCGTCATCCCACACTAACAACGAAGAAACAGATGATGGTCTGTCTTTTATGCAAGACTTTGCCATATCAATGGCGTTTGGGTTCATTTTTGGATTCTGGGCAGTTGTTGGTCCTTTGTTACTCAAGAGATCTTGGAGAATAGCATTCTTTAATTTTTGGAATGTTGTAGGAGATTGGTTGTATGTAACTATAGCTGTGTTCTTCAAAAACTTCACACGAGGTTGCTAACTTTATACTCCGTATGAGTATATTTTACATCCTTTTTAGGATTGTATATGTATCAAAATGCAGAATGTATGAACGGACATGATTGCTCATAGTTTTCTATCTTCTCTCTTCTACTTTCTTCAATTTTCTTCTTAGACAACTCACTATCTCTAAAAATTTATTCCTAAGCTGTCAAAAAAATATTGCTGCAACTAAAACTAAACAGAGAGAGTTTAAGTATGATGTTCTTGTGCTTACAGTTCGTAATGAGTTCATGTTTATTTTGTAAAACAGATTTTATGTTTTTTGTTTTTGTTTTCCAATTAATCGTTTAACTGTACCGGAATTTCAGTTATCTGAAAACCAATTAACCGAAGTTAATGATATACAGAATCTATAACTGAAATATCGACTAACTGACCATGCCCATTGATAGATCTCAGGATGAGGATGCAAGTTGACAAGTATCACGAGTACAACACACACACACACAAGCATATCTCCTTACAGAGGCCTAATACTCTGAAGTCTGAAGAACTATGTTCCTTATAAACTTGACTAATTATCAAAGACAACATATTAATGACCACTTGAAACCTGTTTGCTAGGACTGCCTGGCCATATGACTAAGTCCACAAGATGTTTGAATGCTCAGGAGGCTTCAACTTGATCAATATCATTTTCATCCCCCCTAGCTCCCACCCCTCAATAGAAGACCCAAATGCTAGAAAACCCACGAAGGGTTCGTTTGGATGGAAGGTTTTAAGGATGAATGTTTTAATGAGGCTTAGTTTACATCCTCATAAATACATGTATTTCTGTAGACTGAATAAAGGATGATTAGAATAAAAACACTCAACAAAAATGTGACTTTTCAGAAGCAATGACTAGTGATTTTATACTGCAATTCTTCCATAATACTATGAACTTAACGACTCTTCGCTGCAACACGCTCTATAAGAAAAGAAAGATGTGACTGTACAAAAAGAAAAACAGGTAGGTATGCTTCAATTTCAGTCACACACTGAAGTATTCAACCAGAAACAGATTAGAAATAACAGTGACAGTAACGGTACTGCACTCAAAAGCCTCATAATGATCCAAAAACTATCTAACTGCATTAAAAAAAACCTAATTTCCGCATCAATTGGCTTTCATGACACTACGAAATTACCACTGAAAAGTTTTTTCTAGCAGCAAACAAATACTCTGTGGAGCTTCTTGTTATGATAAAAAAGATCAGTTTGCTGGAAATTCAGTGAATATACATGCGTAATGAGAGTCATGGAGAAGAAGACACACAAGTTGACAAAGAAGATACATTCGAGTGATCGCTGATTCATAAAAGTCTAGGAATGAGTTTGTTTTTTTGGGAAAGGAATGAGGTTTTATTCGTAAGGATAAGGATAACGTGCGAATCAGAATTTTGTTTTCGAAAGTTAAGTTATGAGAAATAGTCCCACACCGGATGCTTAGAGAGGTGGGAGGGGAACGACGCAAAATAAAATGAGAAGCCAGCCTAATGAATAAAGCATCTTTGCGCTTGGGGCAATGACGCAGCTAGTGAGGTAATAACCGAGGCGCGTCTATTGCTGGTTGAAAACTATTTCCAAACCCCCTCTTTGGCTTAGGTTCGTCCTAAGCCTTAGAGAATTTTTGGAAGGGTTTCTTTAACTAGAAACCCTACAAAACTGTAAATCAAAATTTTGTTCTACTAAAATTAAATGTTTCTCGAGTCGTAGTTTGTCAAGGTTCGATACAGATTGTTCTCGAAGCAGCTAGCTGCAACTTTTGTTCACAGTTATAGTTTGTAAGGATAATTGCTTAAAAGCGTTAAGTCATTGCAGTTAAACACTTAAGTCATTGCAGTTAAACACTTACTTAAAAGCGTGAATAAATGTTGAAACCAAAAAAGAATCAACTGAAGTAATGCTCATTGAAGAAATCTCGAAGAAAGAAAAAATCTCAAAGGAAGTATGTATTAGTAAACGCTATAAAATTTAGTAACATTTTATACATAATAATTTGATTATATATTAATAGAAAATAGTGGTCAAAGTAATATGTGTGAATAGTGCAAAATGTTCAATGTGTAACTGTTACAGAATGGATGAAGTACTCCCTCTGTTTCAGTTTGTTTGACACACTTTCACTCCTTTTTTGGACATTTCAAAATGAATGTCACACTTCCTTATTTCCTTATTTGGTAAACAAATCTTTACCAAAAGAGTGCAAAACAGTGTTCAAACAGTGTCAAACAGTGTTCGATCAAACAATGTCAAAACAGTAAAATTTACTCCCTCAATAAAATTTTTCCCTTAATTCTTGATAAGTCAAACCGTGTCAAACAAATCGAAACGGAGGGAGTATTATACTTTGTCACACTCATTTCTATTTTCTCTACACGGTTCATTATTCAGAACGGTTCTACTATTGTTCTCTTAAATATTGTGTCGAATCCTATCAGTAAATAATATAAGTAAATATAATAGATCTACAAAGTCGATTTCTTGGTAACGTTTTCATTTTATATGCTTGCTTAGCATATCATAAAACTTTCAATGTAATTTTTCAATAAGTTTTAATTATTAAAAGTGATATAACTATCTGCAAATAATTGTAATTCAATTCGAGATAGATTTTCTTTTTTTATGAAAACAATGACTTACAACTTTTTCATTCAAACGATAATTTTTAGTTTTCTAGTTTGGCCTAAGAGATATTGGAGTGTCTTATATATCTCCTAAATTTTATTTAAAAGAAACTCTTATTTAGCAAGATAGAATGATAGATCTCTTACTTTTTGAAAAAATGACATGTTTGGGGCCAATTATACTAAGAGCAATACGGTCAGCCGTTCTAATCCAACACCTCAAAACACTTTAAATAGGTGAAGAGATTCGAAGTGAGATGTTGAAGCATTTTATGTTTTTACGATAAATGAGAAGGTTAATAATTGTCCAACACCTCAAAACACTACAAATCGGGGTGTTAAAAAAGTGGACAATTGAGGTGTTGGTAAGGTTATTATTAACACTTCCTAACCTTTACTAACACTTCTTAGCAACTCTTAATTTCTCTTCCAAATAAGTGTTAGTATCAAGTTATTAACACTTACTAACACTTCCGTTACTAACACTCTCGAACACTCGATCCAAACAGGCCGTTCAGGCCGTTAGCCGTCCCTCCATTTCCTAATGACCCGGGCCTCCGTTTTTTCTCCATGGCCTGGTGCAAGTAACCATTCGCCTCAGAGCAGGTTACCCGCGGATTTTCCAAAGCAACCAAACATTCAACTGTCCAGCAGGGGCGGCTCTGTATATTCGAAGGTCTAGGGGCGAAAAATTAAAATGGGTCTAATGTTTCAAAAAATTGTAGAACCATTTTATTTTAATATTTAAGTGACATGCATAATAATAATAATAATAATAATAACAATAATAATAATAATATTTCAAGAAATTTATAAAAAAATTAAAAACCTATTCTGTCTAAACCAATCATATAATAATATTGGTGATCCTTATTTAGGAAAGAGACAATGATGATCCTATATGTACACTATACAAATGTTTAAGTCATATTTAAGAAATTAACTCTATTATTATCGCCTCCTAAATTTTCCCCTCCAATGATGTAATTATTCTGAATCAAATTATTTTTAGTAGCTAAATTACTGTTCTTCTATGAGTTCTCATCTTGAAGGGGACATTCAGAATATAATTTCTTTACACAAGTAAACTTTTACATTGATTTTTTTTTACTTGGCGCCGCTTTCTCTAATTTTCTCTTCGTTTTTATTTATCCTATTCAAATTCAATCATTTTTATTACACCTTGAAATTAATTAAATTAATAAATTTTATCATGATAAAAAGATGTTTGTCTAACAAAATCAACAAGTTATAACACCAACACAGTATAGAAAACAATCAACAATTAAAAAATCAAACAATCAACTATGAATGAAATCAGTTAATAAACTAATCAAATAATCATATCAAACTAATCTTCTTCCAAGTGTAACTTTTTATGAAATTTTAAGAGAATATTTTTCATCAAGTGTAAATTATGCTCATAAAATTTCAGCTAAAATTTCAATCATGAAGTGAGTTAAATAAATCACTGAAAAAACAATGCACCAAAATATGTATACGTACAAACCCAATGCTTTTGAATAATTTATTTAATTGACTTCGAAATTGAACTTTGAACATTTTTTGCATAATCTACACTTCCTAGAGAGTCACAACAAATTCCACCCGAAAAATTGTTAGTATAAGGCTGAAAAATCAGCCTACTAACGCCTATTACAAAGAACTAAACTTGGGCCTATTTTTTACTCAACTTTTTTGGGCCTGGGGCGACCACCCCACTTGCACCCCCCCTAGGGCCGCCCCTGCTGTCCAAACGGATTACCACCAAAATCCGGTACGGTAGTCGTCCCGTACAAAGAGAGTATTGGGGCATGATAGGGATATAATAGACATTTAATTTAATTAGGGACTGTATATAGTAAAAAAGTGGGGAGGAAAATATCAACAGGATCCATAATCACAAATTCACAACTAGTAACTATAAATAGTTTGGTGAGCAAAATACAATTTAATTAATCTATTACTCACATTTTGTAGTAACAATTTCAAATATTTATTTAAGTAGCAGGGAAATATGAAACAAAGTATGAAATATAAAAAATAAAAAAATATGATTTTCAAGCAGCATAGGATACAAAGTATGGGGGAAACACGTAAATATAAAAAATAAGGATATATTTTTGAATATTTTTTCAAATATATACATGTTTTTCATTTACGCGCACACACCACAAAATATTCCAGTCAAGAATTTGTTCCGGCCACACACCACAAAAATACATGTTTTTCATTTACACACACCCCACAAAAATATTCCGGGTGATTTTTTTTTTAAAATTGTGTGAGAATGTTCATTCATTGTAGATTATTTCTGCAAAAAATTTGGCTTAAAATCAATCAAAAGTTAGTTAAAAAAATTGTTGAAAAAAATGCATTGTTCTATATATATTTTGGCGCAGTTGTTTTCAATAGTTTAAAATGTATTCACACATTTTTCATATTCTCTAAAAATCAATAATAAATACATTATACATGTTCAAATTTAGAAATTATTATCTATTTGCAAATAATTAATTAAATATTTGACCAAAAAAATAACTAATTAAATATAAAATGCAATATAATTCTAGCAATGCGTTGTGTTATAACTTATAAATTAAAATATCACAATGTTGATAGGAAAAAATCACATAAAAGTTCACTCAGAAGTTTAGACATTTAGAAGCCGTTTGACAACACTGTTTTTCGGCTTATCACCCAACTTTTTCACCAAACACGTAACTTTTGTTTTCGCGCACTGAGTTGTGTAATAAGCAGAAAAAGTAAAGTTGAAGTTACCTTTCTAGCGGTATTGGCTGAAGTTACTGTAAATCATGACCATTTTAGCTATTTTTATACATATAATTTTTTCTTTATTTTATTAATATAATATATTTTAAAAATAATTTTTTTTTCTTAAATCAGCAGAACCAGCCAATGCAGCCACTTCAGCCAGAACTTCAGAAATTTCAGCAGAATAAGACAAATTAGCCGATTTTGGTGCTACCAAACGGGCTCTTAAAATTTTCGAGAAACGTAAACCATTAGAAGTTTACATACTTCATATATTTTTACATAAATATCTTGAAAATATAAGCCCATTGTCATTCATGAAACGATCTATTTGTGTTATTCAATTCATTGATTTAATATTTTATTTTATTTTAATCTGAAATATTTTTTCTTTTAAAATGTCACTTATTTTAAATAATTTTTATTGTATATTGGTTTAGTCTAAAATGCTGCGATTAAAAAACAGATTTCAACAAAATTAAAAAGCATATTTTAACATAAAAGCGGATTTTAATAGACTAATAGAGACTATTAGTCTATTAGTCCAAAAATGTTGTGATTAAAAAAACAACAGATTTTAACATAAAATCGTATTTTTGGATGATGGAGTATATGACCTCGGACCCCCCCCCCCCCGCACTCCTACCAAACCAAACAGGCCCCACAATCGTAAGCAGCCCAAATACAACGGCGCAAGTACAAACAATCCAAACACGGCAAGGAACACCCCCTCGGGCCTAAGCCCAGCCTAATCCTGAGGGCCTCAAGCTCTAGGCTATCGTCTGACTCGCCCCAACAAGAGAATTGGGACATTTGGTTCTTCGAGCGAGCCCTCGATTAACAATCTTTGGCACCGAGGCCAAAGCCATCGGGATCGACACATACGGACATTCTGCACAAAGTTCCCCAGCGCCCAACTACCGCATTTAATGCTGCGCCACATGTCAGCAGCCCAGCATCCACACCACATGGGACTCTCCACCATATATTAGCTTTAAAAAAATGCCATATACACGAGTAAGCTAATCTATGGCCCTTAGACAATTGGAATAGATCACT